GCTGGTTTACGTGCCAGAAGACCTTATTTTGGCCCTGTGCTTCGACAACAACATCGTCGACATCGAGTTCAATGGTGCACCAACGTTCAGGACGAAATCCTACGCCCACACCTCCTTCCAATCATTGATCGCCAGATGGAGTTGTTTCAACAGGACAATGCCAGGCCCCACACAGCACGTCACACTAGAGACTTCCTCCAGAACCACAACATCAATGTGCTCCCCTGGCCCTCAAGATCACCGGACTTAAACCCGATCGAACATCTGTGGGATGCCCTGGACAGACGGGTGCGACGCCGTAACCCTCAGCGCCAGACACTTCAGCAACTCGCACAGGCACTACAGGCAGAGTGGGCTGCGACTGGGCAACACGAGATTCTGAGACTTATTCGTTAGATGCCGAGGCGATGCCGTGCAGTTCTGGATGCCCACGGTGGTCAAACGAGGTATTGACTTCAGCGCCACCACACATCTCCATGTGACACTCAAACTGACTTTCCTCGAGTTGGTGCTAAAGACGGATAAGATCTGCATTCCCTGTGTGCAATTTCGCTATATTTCATTGACTCATAAAGCCTACAAGATGTTTCAAAATAAACATAAAAATACAGTTGAAATTCCTATATGCGTTTCTTTTTTTGGGAGAGTATATTATGGTGCAATATTAGTCTCCACGAAATATACTTCTTTCATTCACTCGGATACCTTTAGGTTTTGTTAATAGTGAGATGGTAACACATATTTATCAAATACAAAGGTTTGGCCAACATATTAGCACCTAGCAATATTCAAAGCAAATGGTAGTCTTCCATATCTCACAGTTACAGTCAAAACAGTTTACTACCAAAAAATCTTTAAAGGTTGGAATACAATTAAGTTGTTTACCGTTACTACATTTTGTCCAAACTGTTACCATAGGTGTCCTAACCGTTACCTTTAATTCATAAAGACTATAGATCTTATAGAAAATGGAAACTTAACGTGATAAATTCGTTTGGGCTTATATTATTTTAAGCAGATAGATAAGTAAATAGAAATTTATTATCACACCATAGAATATATTCTTCAAAATTGAAATTTATCAAAGATATGTCCTGACCGTTACTATTATTTGTCCAAACCGTTACTAGAGACTGTGTTTTTTATGCTACTACATCAAAACTCCTTTGAACAGTAAAATTCCATACTTAAACTATCTTAACTTTTAAAGTAATTATACAAAATGGCGAATTTAGGCGTTTTCTTTCGACACTTCTTAAGACAACATTTTGCGGAAATGATAAGCGTCTGGGTGTCTGGACTATTACAGTGCAGTTCATCGACCATTTTAACGGTCTTTCTCTTCGGTTCCAATCAAAATCTTTATTCCCAAGATTACCAAAGAAACAATTCCATGTCACAATAACTTTTGCCTCTGAGTATACATTTCATTTCGTGAAAACACTTTTTCCAGTTGCGTCATTATCCTTTGTTTACATTGGTTGTTCGGCTCCGCGTGCTCTCGTCAAGTCTTTCGATACTCTTTTCACTTTTATGAATAAATATTTATTGTCATGCACCTCACTGTACCAGTTGCTTTTATGTAACAGTAAAACTGTACTCAAGAAGCATACAAAGCTTCGCATGAGGTCCCAGACTCATCTGACTTCAGAATGTACGCGTTTGTTTAGAGAAAATAGATAAGCCCGTGGCAGTTGTGTCATGCTAAGTCATCACTTTATAAGTGTACCAAATGCAATAACTTGGTGGATAGCATGCCACTGTACACCTAGGGTGTGGATTAGTGCTCATAATATCAATCACTTTCCAGCAGATGTCTTGTCCAGAGTCGATTATTATGTTTACTGCTATGTCACTACTGCACGGGAGTGTTGTAAACATCTCTTATTTCTCGCCCGTGGAAGATACTGCAGTGTAATATTTTTACGCTCGTGTAATACCGCTAGATGTATGACGTCATAATGGTTTACAGTCATGACGTCACAATGGTATTATACCCTGCTTTTACACTGTAAGGCAGTTTCTATCAATTTGTGTTGGAGAGTAATAAACAGAATTCTAAACTCGCTTCCGTGAAATACAAATTTATTAAACTCGTGAAAGATTTAGTATCAAACTCGCTTTCGATCGTTTGATACCAAATCATGTTTATCATCAATACATGAGCGGCAAATCGTGAATCAAGGTGTCAAAATTATATCTGACCGTACTCACTACTTAAATTCGGAATACAACCTCCTCCCTTCAGGCCGCCGCTACAAAGTTCAAATTGTGAAAACTAAGAGAGCCCCGTACATCCTTTATTCCAAGTACCATATCTCTCTTAAACAAATGTGAAGATACCTAAATCAATGACTTTATGTAAATATGTTTTGTATCTCTCTAATGTGTCAGTAGCTCTGTTTATGTAACACAAATTCCTGAAAAGACATTAAAGTATTATTCTATTCTATTCTATTAACTCGTTTAATAAAAATGGTATTGCACGGAAGGTGGTTTAGTATCCTCTATATACAACAAGCTGCACTGTCATGACGTCATAGTGTTTATGACATCATCTGCATCTTACGTCAGGATTCACATACTATGACTGAGTCAGTCCCGTACCACTAGCACAGAGACAATACAGTAACGCCCACACGTTAACAAATTCAATGACTCAGGAGACTCGTGTCGTCACGATCTGATATTGTCCCATAACTATATTTCTCCGAACACAGTGATAAATCCAATATATATGCGCCACAAGCACAAGCGAGAGTTTACTAGGTGAAAGTTCGTTTACTGCCACAGCTGTGAGACGCGATGGCGTACAGTGAAGACATGAAAGCTGGTAGTCCCCTCGTCCTTCGGTATACAAGCCGTATCAATCTTACAAAAGCGAAAGACACAAAACAAAACGAAAGAATAAAACCCAACTAAAACAAAATAATAATAAATGTTTAAAAAAAATTAAAACAGTGTGTATGATATTTGGCGTTTAAAAATGCATGCTAACAAAAAGAATAAAACCAGAATAGTTCTTGCACAGAACAGCTCTTCGCTGGTAGTCAACATCGATCGAACAGCAGTTGGATTACCAGTGCTTATTTCCAGAACATATTGTCGACTGTAGTTAGATTCTTATTTGCTGGTTAAATGCTGCATGACTAAACATGAACACTGCTTCATAAATCTGCAAATAACGTTATTTTTCTCTCTCGCTTATTGTAGTAAAGATATGTGTATCGATAAGGTGTATTGAGCTAATAAAATATGTGACAACACATGGGCAGATGCAAATAAAAAAGTCAACAATATATCTTTTTACAGAATTATGTTTGTGAAAGGTCCGCTTATGGTTTTAGAAAACCCCAGTAGAACGGACATCAGGGATTAAAATGCTGTCATTTGAATACCCATACAGAACTATCAATAATCAATGTGAATGAAAACCGAAAACTCAAGTAATTATATATACATATCAGGCGCGTAGCCAGGAAAATACAGAGCGTAAGCACAAATGATGTGGCATTTTGAAATCAGGAAGAGTATACCACATCTGATAGTTAAGTACCAAAACAGCTCGAAAACTCGGTAAATGAAACACTTCAACTTCAAAGGGTAAGGTGGATCTCATGACGACTGAGACGATTCAACAAACTGTCAGAGCAGCATTAGGTCTTCATAGATGTTAGTCAAAGAGAAGAGCCACTCTTCTACTTTGACCTTGTGCGAATATGTCAATGACTTTGTCCATGTCTACCACGAAATCATGATGTACGTGAACCAATCTTAACATTTGTCAATTCTACCGTCTCAACAGAGACAGTAGATGGTTTCCGAGTGTCTGATTTAACAATTGGCGAGGAATCAGTACATGACTCAGATAAAGCTATTGTATCAGAGTGAGTGAGTGAGTGAGTTTAGTTTTACGCCGCTTTTAGCAGTATTCCAGCAATATCACGGCGGGGACACCAGAAATGGGCTTCACACATTGTACCCATGTGGGGAATTGAACCCGGGTTTTCGGCGTGACGAGCGAACGCTTTAACCACTAGGCTACCCCACTGCCCCCTATTGTATCAGAACGTGTTTGGGAACACTGGGTACTATGGTCAGGTAAAACGGGTGTTTCAGTCAATTTGGGTTGTTTAACGAAGTAACAATTAGTTGTAGATTTTTACTCATTTCTGCACATAACAAAAGATACAATACTTAAGAGGTAAAACAATTTCAAAGAATAGATCAACGATATCGCCTACTGGACAAACGATTTCGAATGTTTCCAGACACGATTTATTGCACAGTGTAGACGAAACATGTTTGTCTATAAACGATCCGCAAGGCAAGTTGCGTTTGGGTGCCACGGTACTATACCAGAAACCACCCAGAAAACATGAAAACAAATTAAATGCTAAAAACATTTAGCGTCTTCAATCACAACATTTTGTTTTCAATTTTAAAGTGTAAGGACGGGCTTTTTGTGCTACGCTGTAGCTACGCCACTGCATATTCAATCATTAAAGACAATGTCTAGAGCACGACTCAATCGAATGCATGCGGATAAACTGGCTCATAAACTGTATAATGTTTCCTTCCACATCTGAAACTCCCAGATCACCGGGGCTCATTTTCAGGATAAATGGAATTATTTGTTTCTACAAAAATTGTATATTTCCAGAAACAACGAGTCAGTCTATAGATATTGCCTCAGCATTGTGACTATTAACTGCTAAATTAAAACAGGTGTAAATATTCATGTGACCCAGAAACCAACAAATATGCTTGTTTTTTTCCAGTTAGCCTGCACAGCTCTACGATTCTAGATATTCAACAGCTGTTTTGAAATACGATATGGATATTGTTTCTGCTTGCAAATATGATGTTTCTGGCACACTGCGAGTAAGACAATTCAGACTTGACATTTTTTAAAAAACGTTTCTCGTGACTATTTTCCGAATGTGTTGACATAAGCTATTAGAGTTATCTGCCGTTATTTGTATACAGAGGGCGCGTTTTCCAACATGGCAGCTTCCTTACGAGAGTAAATCTGGGAGACGTGTAACATTTGCATTTTGATGTCACAGCTATTGTTTGTGGCAGTAGAATAGCACGCTGCCTAGAAATTCTATCAGATTGATTCTACGTGTTTGTGTGAGGAAATAACTGTGACATTTGATGGTTGTTCAGGAAAAAAAGTGTTTCCATAAATGACAGCTTGACATTCTACGCCTTCCTGTGTTGTCTGCTAGAGACCGAGTAACCGGTGTTTTGAAAGTTCCACAAGTTCTTACACCTCGTAGAGATAAATATTCTGTGTGTCACTACATGTGACGCTAAGTAAACTTACCGCTGTGATAAGGCAATTTGATAAGTTGGATCAATATGGCGAGTCGAGCTAAAAGCGACCCAGCGGTGGCCAAAAAATTGTTGGAAAATCTACAGAATGACTTACGAACTTTGTCTTCAGACAGCAAGAGGAGACACCCGGAGGTGAAAGAGGTATGCTGTGAAATAGCATGTAGAGTAGCGTGTAATTATTTGCCACTCACTATAAAATGACTCAGTTTCAGTCATTTATTTGCTGCTATGCATCAATATTATCCTCATATTAAGGGTAAGGCACGGCTATAAAAATGTCACTTACAGATCTGTAACCAAATTTCGTGGATCACGGTAATTATCATGCTATCTCGTAAATTATGTGCACACAATGCCACGCTTTGATGACAAAAATGTTCCGAATCTCTTCATTACACGTAAATGTACACTAAATCTAATTGTCCAGCACTGAGATAAATATCCAAAGATCAATTAATACCATAATTTTACAAAATGTTAAGTAAAAAAGACATTGTAAGCACCAACCTTCTCACATTTCATCGTCTGCTTTCCTAGGTGTCAGTACTTACTGCAATGGGCTGTCGTATGATGTGATATATGCAGAGGTACAGATAAGCTGCATATCTAAGTAAATTACGCAAATATTTATGTGAAAACTCAATTCATATTAAGTCTATTGCGTATAAGTATGCTTGAATTTTTGTAAATACTAAATCAATTGATATTGCATGCGTACACACAAAAGTGTCAAATCTTAGCCTGCAAACCGGTGGATACATAAAATAACTGAGGTATATTGAGAGGTTCTATTTCAACACATGAACTTGGCAACTTGCAGTCTTTCTTATCGTTTCTCATATTACAGTTCAAATATAGATAACAAACACGTAAACGAACATTAAACTTTATCATATTTACACAATTTATGGAAAATGGCAGAATACCCAATTGAGTTTGAGTGAGGTGGCTGCAATGTATTTGATTATTCAAAGGAAAATTAGGAAAACCAATTGAGATGAACACAAGCGAGCTCATTACTCAATGACCCCAAAAGATATCTGTAGCTCTGTATATGGTAACCGAATACGTAATCCACGAAAAAAAGCTGATGTCACATTTTGTGTGCACACAAATTGGTGATGATGGCAAATGGCTTCGGTAGACAAACGTTTAATTCATGAGTAGAATATTAGGCATTTTCAGTTTGCTGAATCAATGAATAAAATAATCAGTGAGTATACAAAATGAAACAGTGTATTTAAAATATGATTTTCGCCACACTTCCCTTATATCCACGAATCAAGGTTACCCGAGTGTACTTATAAAAGATACCACTATCGTAAACACAAGCCACCATTCCAGAATTTACAATATCTGTGTGACACAACACTCCTCGTTATAGTCGAAGTAAGCACTGCCATTGGATAATGTAGGAAAACCTATGATCGGATGATAACTGAAAAATGCAAATGTCTTTGAGAACTGTCGAATTACACTGAGATTGTTCAACACTTTTTTCACCACAATTGTAATACTGGTAAATAATTGTCTACTTGCATGAGCCCATGGTTTACATGAAAAAAAGATACCAAAGCTTCCTTTAAAGAAGGTGTCGTTGTGCTGAACAGTTAGGCACCCCTTTTCTGACCATGTCTATACTCTGTTTGCAGTGAAAACGTACCGATGAATTTCACTTTAAACAAAATAGTAAATCAAATAAGGTGAAATCAAGATTGCAAATCCTCATAACTTGACTTTGCCAATTGAACATTAAAATCTCAGAATTTCATTCAACTTAGGATTGAGAAGGGGCAAGAAGTAGCCCAGAAACGTTGTGTTATACAATAAAGAAGAAGTTGCCATCCATATACTCATCTTATAGTTTAGTAATTATCGTCCGTTGGTAAATGCTCAATCCAAATAGGTATTTGGATGGCTATTTATTTTTATTAGATATTTATGCTGTATTGCAATAGTTGGTTGCAAAAGGCTATCGCTGTTGCAATAGTATGTTGCAGTAGACTATCGCTATTGCAGTAGTTGATTCCCCCTCAATATTCACCCCCACTGATTAAGGTGTGTATATCTCCTTTTCCCTTTCTATATGATATGTGGTGAACACAACGAATTTGTTACAACACGCTATTGTCATTATTGAACTTCACCAATTAGAGGTCTCATTTCATTAACTATGAACCGGCTCCGCCGTGTGGTGGTTAGAGCGTCCGCCCGGAGAGCGGAAGGTTGCGGGTTCGATCCCCGACCGCGTCATACCAAAAGACGTTAAAATATGATACTTGTTGGTCCCTGCCTGGCGCTCGGTATTAATGGGTGCAACAAGGACTGGTCGGCTCGGAGTCAGTATAATGTGTCTGAGTGGGGTATTCATGCTTCACTGCGGCATGGTATCTCAGTGGGCTAGCACTATAAAACCAGCTTAAGTCTGGGCTAGTACAAGCAGCCGCATATACACATACACACGCATGCATGTCGTCATATGAGCGAAATATTCTCAAGTATTCACGACGTAAAACTCAATTTCACCTCACCTCACCTCATTGACTATGAGACTTGTACTGAACCTGAAAGTTTCCCGTTCTTACCCCACATGTTTTTGCGTATGCATGAACCAGTACTAAATATTCTTTTTCAAATTTCAGGCTGCTGAAACCATTCAGTTGAAGTTAAGGACAATTGTATCCAAGAATGAAAACTTAATTACAGGTAGGTAAATCCACTATATTATTACACAGTTAGGGATGCTGCAGTTCATCAGTGCATCATGTAAAACAAATAAAGTAAAACATATGCAATGATATATATAAATTCTGGAAAATTGTCCTTAATTTACCTTAATTACTGTATCATATAAAAGTGATTTCTTGCACTAGAGTGTGTGAGTGAGTTAAGATTTACGGCCACATTGGCAATATTTCAGCCATATCGTGACTAAAACAAGTTTTGAGAGTATTTGATAAAGTGTCAATGTTGATTGAAAATTGAACACTATTAAAAAGTCTGTTGCTGATTGATTAATATTCAGTCATGCATGATATTGATAAGGAAAGATCATTGACATATTGCCATGTCCCTTCACATCTGACATAACAATAATAAATATGATAGAAAAGCCCTTATATGATTGGTAATTTAGTGATTACAGATACTATGAAGATTCCTTTTATGGCACCCATTAAGTCATCAATGAAACCAGTTACTTGCACCAGAACAGTGTCTGAATTTCCACCAAGGTTATATGACAACGTTTTTTTCAGTATTTAATACTATTACATTTTAGGCCTGATCCCAGCAAGTTCTGACATTGTACATCCATTTGTTCTGGGGTGTGAGACAAAGAGTCCCAAACTGGTACACCAGGGTCTGGTTGCCGTGCAAAGACTTATATCTCATGAAGCTATATCTACAGTAAGTGACTGATCAGAGACAGTAACATTCATTAAAGCATACTGCCATCGGAATGAGTTTTTTAAGACGATTAAAAAAAGACTTGTGTGAACCTTCTTTTTATGCTCTTCAGAGTTGTGGCTATTTGAGCTTGAAGAGGACAAATAGGTTTGATCTACATATTCTGTCAGTTCCATTTAGTTAGGTGTTGATAGAATTGTAGCACATCCGGGTTAGAATTGGTGTTCACCAACCCATGCTTGTTGTAAGAGGCAACTAACAGGATCGGGTGATCAGGCTCGCAGACTTGGTTGACACATGTCATTGTATCGAAACTGCCTAGATCGATGCTCATGCTGCTGTTCACTGGATTGTCTGGCCAAGACTCGATTGTTTACAAACTGCTGCCATACAGCTGTCAATATTATTCTGCATTCCATGGGACACAATATATATTTCTTCCATGTCCATTTTATACATTTAGAATTCAGGATGCACATTTCTGTATCACGTCCAGAGAATACAGGTTATAAAGAGTGTCCATTGTTTAACCATCAGACTGCAGCAGACAGTATCATTACCATGCTGTGGATGTTGATGGAGGGAGGGCTGGAGGAGTTGAAGCTGCTGCAGACAGCCATCCTGTTGATCACAACCAATTCCGTGGTGCAACACGATGCACTGGCTAAGGTATGTCGACCAGAAACTGCTGAGTCAGGAAGGCTGTAGCAAATCCAGTGTTATCATCATGATGAAGTGAATACAGGGCTCCAGATAATTTTTGCAACATGAGGAGTACATACTCCTGATTTTTTCAATACAGGAGTACGGAAAAAAGTTACAGTACATTTAGAGTACTGAATGGAATTTAATGGAGTATCAGTAATCTTGTGTTTTGTGTCATATATGCACCACAACATTGATTTTTGTGTAAACAGGTCAATAAACAATAAAACAATACTTTTTCAGATAAATACGTCTGTAAATGATTCTAAGCCCATACACCATTGTCGTGGTGCGTATCTGCTACGTTTTCTAAATTATTTCCTTCCGTATCGTGCATATTTTTTATTCGTACATACACCGATACGGCCCTTATCTGGAGCCCTGGAATATATATAATGAAAGTTGGGTAACAAATACAATCCGTCACCAATATGCTTTGTGATAGCTACACATATGCTGTGTGATAGCCACATACATATCCTGATAATGTACTAGTTACACCACTAGTATTCAGTTGATAGCTGTTTCACTACAATCAACATCAGCATCATCCTTGTGTTTCTGTATTTGTTAATGTGAGTCTGTGTTCTTCCTGTGGTTTGAGTTTGTGGATATATAAGGAAATCTTTAGGTTATGGATAACAAAGTTTATTTCATTTTGCATTCACTGTAGATCAGTTCGTGAAATAGCCCCTGGCCCGCTAGCCCGTGGCTAGTAAAAATCCTGTCGGGCCAGTATATCTCCTCAGGTACTGGCACGACAGGCTAGTGAATTTTCATGGGGTCATTTTGTAAATATATCACTCTCTCCGATTTGTTAAGTTATAACACACTTTTAAATCATGCAGGATTATGGCCTGATAAAAATGTTCCTCATATTTGTAGCCTAACGATGAAAGCCATGGCTTCAATCAAATTCCGGGCTCGTAAATTATTTCTTGGCTAGTAACTTTCAGGCATAGCTAGCCCGACTGGCTAGCAAAAATTTGGAAACTATTTCACACACTGCTGTAGATTGATAAACAGTTATGAAGCTGGAGCGACTAGAACCAAGTAATGAAGTGTATATATATGTTGTGGTTACCAGCAGATTAACATTAACAAGATGCACACAGATAATTACATGGAGCCAGATGTATGATAAATACATCAAATAGCACATACGTAATGAAGTCGCCTGTACAGTTAGGATTTCAAGCTGATTGGATACACATTACATCTTGTTGATGTTAATATCATTTGTTGTATGGCTTGGTTGTTGTAAGTCATGCTTTATTACATTGTGAAAAGCTTCATTGAAATGTTACTAAATCAATTTAAATGCAATAAACCAGAAGTTGTTATCCATAAAATTCTATGTTTTGTTTATTAAGAGTAGGTCAATGCTGGTTATAAAATTGAATGGTCATGCCAAGTGACTTAATGTCTGGGATATAAAATACATTTTTTTCGAAGGCTGCCAATGGGCACCAGACAAAATAATTTGTGTTTCCTTTGGGAAAATAAGTGAGTCCATACCCTTTCATGATCCAATTACACTCCAAACATAACAACAATTATTACCTACGAGGGCGAACATATCGGGGGCTCATATATTTCACATGATGCAGGCAAAATATCACTTTGTCATGGTGACGTGACGTCATGAACAAGGCTATGACGTCACGTTTCCTCTGTGACATTGCATTCTACATGCGGCGACAGCGGTAGCAAGCCTGTTTTTGAAGGTATATTTGGGTTTATTTTCTTCAATTGGACAACTTCGGTAATAAACAGAATATTATATTCGTGCCCATATCATACTATTACTCACTATATTTACGGCACTCGTGCCTAAATATCAGTATATGCCTCGCTCTCACTCTGGAAATACCAACATTGAGGCACTCGTGTCGTAAACATAGTATGACATGGGCACTCATATAATATCCTCTATTTATGTCATTTCGATTTTGTATTTTTTTTAATCAATCAGTAAACGTCATGTAAACGTGTAAACCTGATTTCCTGGACACTACCGTGACTGCAAGAATAGTTCAGCTTCATTTGTCCCGGACCCATAACCTAACCCACAAACTATGTTATCATCTAAAACAGTATTTCCTGTTATGCTCACTGGCATTCAAAATGGCCACACCCATGTTAAGCTGTGACATTGAGAGTGTCACCAATAATCAGTTTGATGGGTGCAAAAAAGTGCTAGAATCATTTCAGTTTATCAAATTTTCTAATTTTCCATTAAATGAATCATGGTGAATATTATTTTTATAAGTTTATTTTAAGTCTGCCAAGGCACATTGAAAATATTTTATCCATGGCATGACATGCAAATTAAGCACACATTTGATCCCTGTATGCCATTGTCGTACGATAAGATAGATTGTTGCTCACATTTGATCACAGATTTAGAAGTTGTTGTGATTGAGCTGGAGCATGGAACAACAAAGGGGGCGGTGGGGTAGCCTAGTGGTTAAAGCGTTGGCTCGTCACGCCGAAGACCCGGGTTCGGATCCCCACATGGGTACAATGTGTGAAGCCCATTTCTCGTGTCCCCTGCCGTGATGTTGCTGGAATATTGCTAAAAGCGGCGTAAAACTCAGTCAGTCAATCAGTGGAACAACAAACAAGTGTCTCAGCTCAGACTATGACAGTGTTGTCATATATTACACATATATATTAAGTAGAACTAAGTACTTGAAGTCCTCAAAAGTGATGTGTTTCTGTCTGAAATTCAGTCTTGAACAATATCACAATTTCTCAGTTTGCCTCCCTTAGTAATTATAAGGAATCTAAGAATGACCATGAGTTGACCATTTTTGATGTTTCGCCCCAAGGCCCTCGTCTTGTGTTTCCGACTGCATTTCACCAAGGACAGCACCACCATCAACACTGCAGCAGCCACCATCAAGCAGCTTGTCAGCATCATCTTCGACAGGGTTGTTGCCGAGGACAGGATTCAAACAAACGGTATGCAGGAGAGGGCAGGATGATTAGCCATAACACATATCCTGTCTATCAAGGTTGTGTCTTCGTAATCAAATCTATTGCTTTGCCAGCTTCCCATATTCTCCAAAGATTGTATGTGAGTAGTGGGAAAGATACACCTCAATTTGAATTATTTTGTGCTTTAGCATAACTGATTTTTGAGATAGGGTATTGATAAATGCAAAAGTTTGACTTTTTTGCCGCTTGAATTTTTTTTATCACTTTTAAATAATCATATTCAAATGGTGTACATATACCCCTTTCATGAAGCTACAGGAGCAGAGTTTATTTATTTTTCTGCTTCACAATTGGGGACAGTTTCTCAAAATATTTTTAAATTAGAGCAATGTTATTTTACACAGTGGTGTTGCTAGTCATATCTTCAAATCGGTTTGAAACTTGGTGTCTTATATCAGATGTTTTGAAGAATATAGGACCCTTGTGCATACAAATTGTTTGATCAGCAATGTAAGAATGTACACCGAAATGCCACTCTGTACAATAAACAAGCAGTTGTTAATCATAATGTTGTATGTTTCATTATTTGTGCATCCTGTGTGAAATAAGAGGACACATTTTCTCAGAAACTACCGAGGGTACTTGAATTTAACACTTTGCAATCTTATGAAAGTGTTAAACAGCAGATGCTGTGTCAACTGTCTCCATGCTGGAGATTTAGCACTTCCTGTTTTCAGTGTTTCCTTATAGAAAATCAGATTTGATGAAAACCCCTTGAATTCTAAAATACCCTGGTAGAGGATCATGAGAATGCTGTTTTTCTGTTTGCTTCTTCACACTGATGGCACATGCACAACAACGTCATTCTTTCAAGCCAACCTTTACAGCTATCACCAATCTGTTACAGAGCCACGAGAAGCAATGAATACTGACGAACTGAAGGCAGGCAGCAGGATTCCTCCCAAATCACTCAGACCTTGTGCTGGAGATGCGTATCTCTTGTTCCAGGTCTGATATTATCAGTCACTATTGTATCAAAGATATAGCTTTTAGCAAAATTGTCGGTGTTTTTGCTTTGTCTGTGATATATGGCCTATATTTTACATTGTCTTTGAGATCCTCCTTTCAGTACTGTTCTTTATGTACTCATGTTGGAATTTGTAGTTGTTGATTCTTGCCACTTTTAGCTGGAAAATTGCTGATGCAGCATAAAACAATATTCATTCATTCATTCAGTCAGTCATTACTAAATAACTGGGTTGCCACAGTAGACAACTTTCTCATATTTATACATGTACTTCTGTTGATACTCTTAGACAGGTTGATGTGTGAATCATGATGCTTAACTTGTGCTAATTTTGTGTGAAATTCTTCATCTTCCATGTGATGCAGCTAACAATGTGAAGCTGCTATCACCCGGTTTGTGTCTAAGTCACGATTATTTAATGAGATATTTTTTACATCAAATGGCAAAGAAGTGACTCAAGTACACTTGGTACCTGTGAAGATCAGGGTTAGAATTGGTCTTCAGCACCCCATGCTTGACACATTCATCATATCCAAATCGTGTAGATCGATGCTCATGCTGTTGATCACTGGATTGTCTAGTCCAGATTATGACTGCCATATAGCTGGAATATGAAAAAAAACAGAACCCGTACACTTGGTATTTAAAGTAATTTTATGTGTGCTTCAGTGACTTTGACTCTGTGAGAGAGTGTGTGTGTATGTGTGCGTGTGTGAGTGCGTGCGTGAGTGAGTGAGTGAGTGAGTGCGTCCGTGCGTGCGTGTGTGTGTGTGTGTTTTAAAGGCTGGGTTCAGTCGTTAGAATTGAAATTCTACATTTTAAAGAGGCCATCCTGACTGATATTTGAAACCAGAAAATGTTGCAGTGTACTAAAATCTAGCGTTATTCAAATATATTTGTCCAGGACCTGTGTCAGCTGGTGAATGCAGACCAGCCCTTCTGGCTGATGGGAATGACGGAGATGACACGGACCTTCGGCCTGGAGCTCCTGGAGTCAGTTCTCACCAGCTACACATCAGTATTCTCAAAGGTATGGTGTGCACACAGATTGATGCTCATGTTATCAGTCACTTGATTGTCTGGTCCAGACTCCATCATGTTGTCCAGTCATGGCTGGAATATTGTAGAGTGCAGGATTAAATAGTAAACCATCAAATCAAATTGTTGAGTCGCCAGGCCCAGGACTTAGGCTACTATGTGTCATTGTACCTTCATGGGATGTTGTTCATGACATCAATCACTGGTTCGTCTGGTCCAGATTAAGGTATCTATAGGTGACTGTCGTATGAGATGTTGATGATTGGCTGGAATATTGCTGAAACTTATTTAGAATGTATTGCTTTGTTACGAATTTAAGACAAAAATCTTTATGACAGCTGTATATGTTTATAAATGTTCTATAAGCGTCAATATGTACTGTACATGTGGGATTTAACATGTTCTATCAAAGCTGTGTCAATAATGTAGTTATCTGTACATGTGAGGATGTTGACGGAGACATTTGACCGGGATCATCCGTCTTACTGTGATGAATAATCTACTTTCTGTTTCCCAGCACCCTGAGTTCAGCTTCATGTTGAAGGAGAAGGTGTGCCCTCTCGTGATCAAACTCTTCTCCCCGAGTCTCAAATACCGCCAGGGCCTGCCGCCAGCCCCCTCACCCGCACCTGTTGAAAAACCATTCTTTCCTATCGTCATGAGGCTTCTCAGGATTGTGTCAATACTCATCAGAGGATACTATCAGTTACTGGTGAGTTGTACTACTGGCAGTGACACAAGGCTACTATCAGGAAGTGTTACTGGTGAGTTGTACTACTGGCAGTGACACAAGGCTACTATCAGGAAGTGTTACTGGTGAGTTGTACTACTGGCAGTGACACAAGGCTACTATCAGGAAGTGTTACTGGTGAGTTGTACTACTGGCAGTGACACAAGGCTACTATCAGGAAGTGTTACTGGTGAGTTGTACTACTGGCAGTGACACAAGGCTACTATCAGGAAGTGTTACTGGTGAGTTGTACTGGCAGTGACACAAGGTACAAGTGACACAAGGCTACTATCAGGAAGTGTTACTGGCAAGTTGTACTACTGGCAGTGAGGCTACTATCAGGAAGTGTTACTGGTGAGTTGTACTACACAGACTGTGATATCACTGGCTACTGTCTGTTACCACTGTTACTGGTGAGTTGTCAGTGCTCATCAGAGGATACTATCAGTTACTGGTGAGTTGTACTACAGACTGTGATATCAGGCTACTATCTGTTACTGATGAGTTGTGTACTACTAGCTGTGTCATGAGGCTACTTTCTGTTACTGGTAACTTGTACGTTGTCATGATTATCTGTGTGTCATCCCTATACTATCAGGCTCTTTGTCTGCTTGTCCAGGTCACAGAGTGTGAGATTTTCCTGTCTCTTCTTGTGAAGTTCCTGGAACCAGAGAAGCCAATATGGCAACGGAGCCTTGCCCTGGAGGTGCTACACAAGCTCAGCACGCAACACACTCTCATCAAGTAGGTCACCCACCCCTACTGTGCTATGACTCCACACCATGCCACATTAGCATGGTCTGACCACGTTTAATTGCTCAAACTGATCAAGCATATAGGGGAGATAACTCCCACAAGACTATCTCCCCATGAAGTGGTTGATTTTGGGAGTGATTCTAACATTAATGCACAATAATCTTGCCATTCAATTACCTTGGAGTTTTATTTGGGGGATGTGTAATTTTATCAAAAGAAACTTATACATAACTTCATTGAGTAGTTTTTATGGTTGTTCATTTATTTTGCAGATGTTTTTGTGAGTCATATGACATGAAACCACATTCCACAAAGATTTTCCGAGACATCGTGAACGCTGTGGGGGCTTTCATACAGTCCCAGTTCATGAGCAGCCCTGGTGGACCAGCAGGCCAGAGCAGTAAGTGCAACTCTCGCCATGAAGAAGGGGCTCATTCTGAAACACTGTCTGAGGAGCGGTGGAGTAGCCTTGTGGATAAAGTGTTCCCTCGTCACGCCAAAGACCCGGGTTTGATACCCCACATGGGTACAGTGTGTGAAGTGCATTTCTGGTGTTCCCCGCTGTGATATTGCTGGAATATTGCTAACAGCAGCGTAAAACTAAACTCACTCTGAAACACTGACACTGACCATGTCAGAAATGGCACCTGACATGAGTGAGTATGTTTTTATGCCGCTATTAGCAATATTCTAGTAATATCATGGCGGGGGACACCAGAAATGGGCTTCACACATTGAACCAATGTGGAGAATCGAACCCAGGTCTTCGATGTGACAAGCGGACACTTTAACCACTAGGCTACCCCACAGCACCCGACATGAGCCCTTAGTTCTTCGGACTTACTAACACAAATATAAGCTGTGACTTGTCTCATTGTTTGATGACATTGCAAGGTCTGGTGTTAAAACTGCCTGGCCACGTTATACCAAATTGTGTTAACATGTGGCACTTGTTGTTACCCTGCATGGTGCTCAACATTATGTGACCCGTGAAGATCCGGGGTAGAATAGGTCTTCAGCAACCCACGACTGTGCTTGTCGTAAGAAGCGACTAACAGGATCGGGTGGTCAGGCTCGCTGACTTGGTTGACACATGTCATTGGTTCCCAGTTGCGCAGATCGATGCTCATGCTGTTGATCACTGGATTGTCTGGTCCAGACTTAATTATTTACAGACCGCCGCCATACAGCTGGAATATTGCTGAGTGCGGTGTAAAACTAAACTCACTCACTCAACATTATGTCGATGAAACAAAGATTGACTGATATTCTTGATCTGAATGGGATGTCCATGTTAAACTGCGGCAGTATCTCAGTAACCTAACACTGTAAAACAGGCATCAGTCCAGATTGTGATGTAGTAAATGTCTGAGACCTGCATCACTATATTGTGTATAAACATCATCTAGTCTGAGACATGTAACATACATTATATTTGGGATTACACTTTCTCAATAAAGTAAAGATTTTAGTACTTTTGTTGGGTTGAGTCCAATTCAGGATTCGAACCCACACCTCAGAACCAGGCACCTAATCACCGACACACAAAGTTAGCCGTCTTACCAACTCAGCCACTGTGGCTTCCAACGGGAAAATGTAATACCAGATATAATGTATGTTGTCTACTTTTTAAATGGCTTTGTATTCATATTCTGGGACATTTGTAACAAATACCTGTGAAAGGACCTGTGAAGATTCGGGGTACAATTGGCCTTAAGCAACCCATGCTTGTCTTAAGAGGCGACAAATGGGATCAGGTGGTCAGGCTCACTGACTTGGTTGACACATATCAACGTAACCCATTTGTGTAGATTGATGCTCATGCTGTTGATCACTGGATTGTGTGGTCCAGACTCGATTATTTACAGACTGCTGCCATATAGCTGGAATATTGCTGTGTGCAGCGTTAAACTGAAAAACAATCAACCAACCTGTAAAAGAGTCTCATTATAAACTTTGGTTCTTCCAGGTAACAAATTACCCGACACCCAGGGGACGCCCCCTGCCCTGGTGGCGGGGCTGCCGGTGGGGGGAGGGGTCAGTCCCCAGCCGGCCTTCATGTACCGAGGAGTATGGATTCCCCTGGTTGTGTCTATTCCTTCTGCCCAGTCAAAACCTGTGTTGTGAGTTACCTGTTCATTAGTGCTTCCTTGTAGTGCCGGAGGGGCGGTGGGGTAGCCTAATGGTTAAAGTGTTGGCTCGTCATGAAGACCCGGGTTCGAATCCCCCGAGACATGGGCACAATGTGTGAAGCCCATTTCTGGTGTCGCCCGCTGTGATGTTGCTGGAATATTGCTAAAAGAGGCGTAAAACCAAACTCAGTCAGTCAGTGTAGTGCCGGCAGTTCGGTCAAACATGTTAATGCACAGCATTCTGTGTGGGTTTCTGGGTAGACTAGTTCCCATGGAACGCTGTACACTTTAGTATTGTATAAGTCATCATGATAAGGTCATGCTTTAGTTGTTACAGCTGATTCTGAGCCCGAAATATATGTTCCATTTCAGAATGTGCATTTTGAAAAGTAAAACTGCTTCTACTGTAGGTCATGATGTAAACTTGTTGAGAAATTATGTGTCATAATGACCCATAAAGTCTGGCTTAGAATTGGTCTTAAGCAACCCATGCTTGTTGTAAGAGGCGACTAACGGGATCGAGTGGTCAGGGTCGCTGACGTAGTTAACACATATCATTGATTGATGCTCATGGTGTTGATCACTAGACTGTCTGGTAGGAGAAATCACTCAAACCTGTTGATTCTAGAAATAAAGTAATGAGGACAGATTCTCATGACTTCTCAATTTTCTGTTTTTATCTGTGGTTATATCAGTATTTTAATGTGGTATATTCACTTCATTCATATTTCAATACTGTTCAACTGTGCAATATGAATTTACCTTGGCATATTACAGTCTTATCTTATCTCAAAAACTAACTGAAACCTTGGTTTATGACTTCCAATGTTCTGCAGCCTGGAGATGTTGGACAAGATTGACCCTCCAATAATACCTGATGGGTATGGAGTGTCGCTAGCCTTCTACTGCCTCCTGTCTATAGTGAAGAGTGTCAAGCTGCTCATTGAAGGGGAAAACGATGAAACATCCAGCAAGGATGTTGTCAAGCCCAGTCCCAAACCCGCGCCAGTAAAAAGTAATTGTCTTTGTACAGATTATGATGAGCGGAGATTCACATCCCTGGGTTGAACATATTTTCAGGACCTGGCCCCGATTTCTCGAAACAAACTAAAGTCTGAGTTTTCACTTAAGTTTGCGAAAAAGCAGGAAAATGCATTTCCCAGAATGAACTGAAATTGATATTACAATAAAATAGTAGACAATTTGAGTTTGGTGGATAAATTAAGTTGCTTGGGCATTTGTATTCTTAAAAAAATGCATTTGAGTTAAAAATTCAGTGCTTCAAATTATCAAATTCAGTTTGAAATTTGAGTTAAAGCTTAAGTTTGTTTCAAGAAATCGGGGCCTGGGCCCTTATTCTCGAAATGTTCGTAGTCCAAAGAATTCTTAACTTTGATCGTAGCCAATGTGTTAAGAATGGGCTTAAGAAGTTCGTAAGGCTACGAACGTTTCGAGAATTGCTAGCTTTGGTCCTTTGTGTGCCATTACATGTGGTTGAATTGATGGTATATGTTACATCAGCGAGGGTGTTACATTGAGCTGAGAATGCATTATATGGAATTGATGGTGTATGTTACATCAGCGAGGGTGTTACATTGAGCTGAGAATGCGTTATATGGAATTGATGGTATATGTTACATCAGCGAGGGTGTTACATTGAGCTGAGAATGCATTATATGGAATTGATGGTGTATGTTACATCAGCGAGGGTGTTACATTGAGCTGAGAATGCATTATATGGAATTGATGGTGTATGTTACATCAGCGAGGGTGTTACATTGAGCTGAGAATGCATTATATGGAATTGATGGTGTATGTTACATCAGCGAGGGTGTTACATTGAGCTGAGAATGCATTATATGGAATTGATGGTATATGTTACATCAGCGAGGGTGTTACATTGAGCTGAGAATGCATTATATGGAATTGATGGTATATGTTACATCAGCGAGTGTGTTACACTGATTTGATGATATATGTTTCAGTTGTGAGGGTGTTACATTGATTTGATGATGTATGTTACATCAGACATGACATTGAATGGAATTGATGGCTTATGTTACAGCAGAGGCAGAGCGGGTGTTACATGAGGAACTGATCAACTCCTCGTGGTGTGGGATGCTAGCTGCACTGTCTCTTCTCCTTGATGCTAGGTACGTCAGTTTGTAGTTCACAGCTGATGACAAATACTTTCCAATAAAGAATGTTACATTACAGTAGAGAGGAAGACATGTAGTGTTATTTTAACAGATTTGACTACTGTGTTTTGAGGGGCAGTGATGACCGCCTCCGTGGTGTAGTGGTTAGAGCGTCCGCCCGAAGAGCGGAAGGTCGCGAGTTCGATCCCCGACCGCGTCATACCAAAAGATGTTAAAATATGGTACTTGTTGGTCCCTGCCTGGCGTTCGGCATTAATGGGTACAACAAGGACTGGTCGGCTCGGAGTCAGTATAATGTGTCTGAGTGGGATATTTATGCTTCACTGCGGCATGGTATCTCAGTGGGCTAGCACTATAACACCAACTTAAGTCTGGGCTAGTACAAGCAGCCGCACATACACATACACACGCATGCACGTCGTCATATGAGCGAAATATTCTCAAGCACGACGTAAAACCCAATTTCACCTCACCTTTGAGGGGCAGTGAGGTTGCCGACTGCTTTAAAATGTTGCTTGTCACACCAAAGATTCACCTTACATGTGTGAAGCCCATTTCTGGTGTCCTCCATCCTTATATTGCTGCTTAAAGTGGTGTCAAACTTTACTCACTAACTACAGATATAAGATATCATATTGTTCTGAAAATTTTTACTATCATGTTACAAATATATTGTTTCAGCAGATACTCTACCCCTATTGACATCATGACCTTAATCTTGTAATATGGGTGTCATAAACCATAGAATCTAAAGATTTTCAACAAAGGTTCTCTGTACTGCCAAGTATTTCCTGTCATCGTGGACTATTCATTCAGAATTTTTCAATTTTCTTGTATCAGTTCTCTTGTTCCCCTGTTTCCAGTACTGATGAAAGTGCCACAGAGGCTGTCCTCAACTCACAGCAGGCGTACGCCAGTCTTTGTGGTCACCTCGGGATGAACACCCCGAGAGATGCGTTCATCACAGCGCTGTGTAAAGCCTCTCTGCCCCCCCACTACACGCTCACCATCCTTCACTCACAGGCCGGGGGAGCCTCAAGTCCTAAAGGTTGGTACAATGTTCCACCAGGGAACCTTAGCGTTAAGATGATCGTAAATCCAGTTCTTTAACATTGGCTTACGATGCATTAAGAAGATCGTAAATCCAGTTCTTTAACATTGGCTTACGATGCATTAAGAAGATTGTAAATCCAGTTCTTTAACATTGGCTTACGATGCATTAAGAAGATCGTAAATCCAGTTCTTTAACATTGGCTTACGATGCATTAAGATGATCGTAAATCCAGTTCTTTAACATTGGCTTACGATGCATTAAGAAGATTGTAAATCCAGTTCTTTAACATTGGCTTACGATGCATTAAGAAGATTGTAAATCCAGTTCTTTAACATTGGCTTACGATGCATTAAGAAGATCGTAAATCCAGTTCTTTAACATTGGCTTACGATGCATTAAGATGATCGTAAATCCAGTTCTTTAACATTGGCTTACGATGCACAGTCAGTGTTTAGGTTCCTCCTTGGAGATTTTAGTCAGAATAGGTCCACAAGGCAACCTTAGAACTAAGACAATCGTAACTCCACTGTTATAACATAGTCAATTGGTTGAAATGACAGAGCAGTCAAAAAAGAAAAGTTTTTTGGTTACCTTTATGGTAATTTTAACAAAACTGCAAGGTAGATTTGTTTCCTGAAAAGGTTTATGACTTGGGACGTCCTGTTAGAGTGAGCCTAGTATATTTGTTTGAATATATACTGGACAAAGGAAGTTAGGGATATTGGTATTTTTATGGTTGATATTTCATCAGTGTGTCAGTGAATAAATAGATCATTATTTATAATTTCCAAATTTACATATATCCCTAACTATTTTTGTCCAGTATATTATGGCTCACTCAGTTACACACAGGTGTTGTGGTGGTAAGGTGATCCCCATACTTAAACATAGGCCTACAATAGTAGTAGCACTAATATATCACTTTGTGGAATGAGGAAGGTGGTGAGATAAGTATATATATAAATAAAAAATTATTTAATTTTTTTTTAAATTTTAAAGAGGTAAGTATATTTGTTGTATTTGGTAAGTTGGTAAGTGCGATCTATTTCTACAAAATTCAACCCTCATATTTTAACATAGACTTTGTGACTATAAAGGTATACATGTAAGTTGCTGATCGAGGTATTTGTGTTGTATCAGTAGGTGACATCTAGTTTTAGGGAACATTGAAAAACAGCAAAGTAAACCTGAATGATAAATTATGATGATCCATTAGTTGGGATGATCCAATCATCAATTGTAATTTTGCAGCCAATTGCTAATACGAATCAGAGAACCAATGAGTGATGCGTGATTAAGTAACCATTGGCGATGGCCGTGTACGAAATAAGGCCCGCGACGGGCTAGATTTCCGACGGACAGTCTAAATTTACAGCTAGCCAGCCCGATGGTCTGGTTTACATTTTAAATAACATGTTCCAATACATCTGAGCAATTTTCTTTGGATTGTCTGGTCTGGTTAAATCCATTTCGGCTGGTAACATTATAAAGTTACCTGCCCTTATGTCTGCCTGGGTTTTTGGCTTATTTCATATACTGGTGATGGACTCACAGCATTCATTCAGATATATGAATATGTGTTTTATCTGCTCCAGCGCCAATATTTGGCCGTACTCCAAGTCAGGAGGCTCAGGTTGGTGGGATGGAGGCCATTGAGAGGAGTCAGGTTGTGGCTGTCGGATCTCCTCTGCCGACTGCATCGCTGCCGGTCGGGGCTCATCAGGGACCTGTCATGGTAGGCTTGCTCTTGGGGATTGTGGGTTAGAATTCACCTGGTTGATGGAGAGGGACTGAATGGTCAGGCTCAGAGAATTGGTTTATTACATGTCATTGTACCCTTATAGCTTTGATCAATGATTAAAATGTCAACCTCTGATTTGTGTGGTCTTGACTTGGTTATTTCTATGACTGGAATATCGCTGAATGCATTAAAAACAAAGAAAGAAATAAAACTAACATGATACATGTGCATGTTTTCGTTTGTTTTGTTGAAACTAAACGTTCCCTTGGCAATATTCCAGCTATACGGTTGCGGTTTGTAAATAATAGAGTCTGAACCACACAATCCAGTGATCAACAGCATGAGCATCTATCTACGCAATTGGGATACGATGCCATGTGTCAACCAAGTCAGTGAGCCTGAACACAAGATCCCGTTAGTCGCCTCTTGCGACATGCATGAATTGCTGAAGACCAATTCTACCCGGATCTTCACGATCTTAACTGCCTGTTGTGGTTTTGAAAATGTACACATCCGCAACCTAGTGTACCATTGAGTCACTTGATGGATAATAATGTGTTTACTTATATTGTGCTAACTTCATACACAAAGTGTATGCTCAAAGCTCTAACCTTATTACCCCGATCAATGGATCAGTGGATGCTACAACCCAAGCTGCTGGTGAGGCACTAGAGGATTAACAGTCATAATAATAATAATAATAATATCATCCCAGTAGGTACCCAGTCACTGCAGGGTGAACTGAGGCAATTTTACAAAGTCACTTGCCTGAAACACCCATGCATGCAAGAGGTGACTAACAGATCTGGTGGTCTGGCTCACTGACTTGGGTGACTCATGTAATCGTATCCCAATTGCTTAGATCGATGCTCATGCTGTTGATCACTGGATTGTCTGGTCCAGACTTGATTATTTACAGACCACTGCCGTATAGCTGGAATGTTGCTGAGTGCGGCGTTAAACAACAAACCAACCAAACCAACATGTGCTTCGTTGTGGGGCAGGACTGAAGTCCTAGAAACTCTCAGGAGTCACGCTGCCAAACACGGTCAAACCTCCAAAAACACTACTTCAACTGATTTGTAACCTGTGTAATAAACTTACCCCTGGCATATGTTTCTGTTCCAGCTGACCGCTAAGAACATCCAGTGCATGAGGGCTCTCCTGAGTGTGGCCCATTGCCATGGAGGGATACTGGGCACTGCCTGGCACCTGGTGCTAACGACTCTACAGGTAAGACGCAGACACTCATTGTTAAACAACAGTTTAATTAGAAGAGAGCATTACATTTTTTTCATATTTCCTGGTGTTACATATTTGATGCTACCCCTCCACCCTCAATACCCTCAATACCCTCAATACTGTCTCATGGATGTCCTGACAGTCAAGTAAATTCAAGGCATACCGCCATGATGAGTTTGCTGTCTGTCACAGTATTGTCACACAAATATATTTCACCAAACATATTTCTTGAAATATCAATGAATAATGTGCAGGGTGGATGGGATTTAACCAGATGACCATTTGAGTACTCCCTCTTAGGGTGTAGCCCATTCATCTCAATCTCTTATAGATTGCCACACCTTTCTGCTTTTAATGCTACATTTTGTGATGGGTGTCTGATAAATGTACTTAATCCTGTACTGAAATGTTGCATTAAAGAATGAAGAAGTGAGAGCCCAGTCAACTTGGCCACATTTCAACTTGTAAAGTCCTTTATACCTGGCTATGGACACAATATCTCATGATAATGATGATTGTTCTGAAATTCTATATTTCACAGTCGTTTTAAAATTAAGATGTCCCTCATACCATACCCCAGTAGAGTGTGTTGGCCGGATGGTCTTGTCTGTAAAAGGGGCTATTGGGTAGCCTTGTGGTTAAAGCATTGGCTTGTCACGCTGAATTCCCGGTTCGATTCCCCACAAGGTACAATGTGTGAAGCACATATCTGGTGTTCTCCAAGATGATATTGCTGGAATATTGCAAAAAGTGGTGTACAACTAGACTGTCTCACTCATGTCTTTACCTGGATTGTCTGGTCCAGACTTGACTATACACAGTTAAACAATACACAAACAAATACAACCTCTCACCATAACCTCCCTCCATCATGTCTACCAGCACCTGGTGTGGATCCTGGGCTTGAAGCCATCCTCTAACGGCAGTCTAAAGGCGGGACAACAGATCAGCGAGACCTCCACTAGTGTCATCACAACCGCCGTCATGGCCGACCTGCCGGTTCTCTCTGCCATGTTGTCACGACTCTTTGAGAGTTCACAGTAAGTGCCCATTGTTATTTCAGCCAGCTCTTCCAAAACTCTATTCTATTCATACTGATATGTAACCCCTGTGGTTCAAGAAATGCTGGGGCGGTGGGGTAGCCTAGTGGTTAAAGCGTTCACTCGTCACGCTGAAGGCCCGAGTTCAATTCCCTACATGGGTACAATGTGTGAAGCCCATTTCTGGTGTGATATTTCTGGAATATTGCTAAAAGCGGCGTTAAATCAAACTTACTCACTCACTCAAAAATTGCTTCAGGAGCACAATCAGCTGTCCTCAGGCCTATATGAAACGAAAACTTATAGCTGTCCTTAATCCTAATACTAAAAGTCATGTTGGAGGGAATTAGCTATAATTGGAATAGTCCATATCAATAAAGAATCTGCACCACATATACCTTGTCCCATTACAATGAAACACTATAAACTTTATCCAAAATTCAAACGCCAGTTCATCATTTGTTTTGTGCATGTAATTTTTCTATCTGAAAAGCCATAAGTACTTATGTTTCATTATTTCCATCATTGCCCTTGTAGATACCTGGACGATGTGGCCCTTCACCATCTGATTGATGCCCTGTGCAAGTTGTCTACCGAGTCCATGGACCTTGCCTACTCCAACAAGGTATGTAGAGTTGTCTCCCTTACACCACCCACCTGCATAGCTGCATGTACACTGCATGGTCGAGTCAGTGAGGATTCCTATGTTGTTTAGTCTCACTGTGTATGGAGTAATGGCAGTTGTGATTGTCCTTGAATGAAGTGTATGTGCTGTGTTGTCATACAATAAGATATGGAGTTGATCTTGATTGGTGATGCGGACAGAGAAAATACCTGAACGTTTGTATCGTTCATTCTCATCCTTTGCAATACATAGTTGGTTGTGGAAAATACAATAGAACATCCTGTCCCGTTGAGGCCGAGTGTGGAGCTATGCCACAGATGACTTACCGACCTTTTTTTGCTTAGTGACAAGGTTATCGTCTTCAGCAGGTGGACAAAGTGTCCGACCTCAGATCACAAGGCCTGTGACGACAGGATTCAGACTATTAATAGCTGCAACATTGGACCCTACCTCAGGACCTACTATGGACCAGGGACAGGGTTGCTCTAGATAGGGTATTATGTAGCAAGATGTGGAGTCATCCTACAGATGACATCCTAACCCTTCTCGCTTCGGTTATGAGGTTAACCTCTTTAGTCAGGTGGACAAAGTGTCCAACATTAGATCACAAGGTCTGAGATGATGGGATTTGGACTATTTATATCTGGTATTCTGGAACTAAACTTGGGACTGAGTATGTTAATATTAAATTAAAGCCAAATATGTCTCAGGATCCTGCTATGGGACTATGTCTGTAGACAGGGACAGTATGTAGCAAGACCTCATCCGATATATGACATACTTACCTTGTCAGCATAGTGAAGGGATTTATATGTTTAGTCATGTGGACACAGGGTTTGACCTCCCACCAGAAGGTCAATGGTTCTAATCTCATCCTGTGACAAGGAAATAGTATGACAGCTACATTGCCATGACATTAAATTAGAAATTGAAGATAAATGCAATGTCCTTTAGCTTTTCTCTAATATGGTGTTTCAAAAAAGGGAATCACAAAATCCTGCAGAGCCCCTTGTATCCATATTCATGATCACTGCTTTATATCTCTCTTTGTTTATTTATTTTTTCATTGAAAAAAGATGGAATGTGTATATTCAGGGTTTCATAAGACATTTTCAGGAGGTAGATGTAAGTAGCTTGTGTCTGGGGCTCTCAAAGCCCAGGGTAGCCTAGCGGTTAATGTGTCACTTTGTGTTGCCGGAGACTGGATTTGGTCATTTTGCCACATGGCATAATGTATGAACCCATCACTGGTGATAAAGCTGGAGTCTTCTTTACCACAGAACCACAAAAGAGGATTCTGCAATACTACCCACAAACATATGCTTGTAGTAATATTCCACATAACAATTTAGAGGTCCACATCATGGATAAATTGGCTAATCATCAAATATTGTTGCATATTCTGTTACATGAATGGTGGGAGACATTGTTATATATGGCAGTTACTGTGTCACCCTTTTCTGACTCATCAATATCAGTGTGACCGATGAAATACATTAAATGTAAGCCAGGGGTATAATTGATTCTTCATCACTCCCTGCTCCAAATGACTGCTTACTGCTTGGTAGCAGGCGATGCAATCCACAGCCTATCTGGTGACCAACCATGTATATAATCAAACAATAATTATGCAGCTGTACTTTATCCCTTTTCCTCACCCCCTCCCAATCTTACCACACCTCTTGCCCCCCATTCCCCCTACCCATTCAAACATCTGATCTTTATGATTTGCCCCCTCTCCACTCATGTCCCCAACATGTAATCTTCTACCACTGCCTACTAAAGGTCCCTCCCAACACAAGTCCCTCCCATCAACCCCCTCCCTCTCTACCCCATGTTGCTCTAGATCACCCTCCAGCTGTCCTTTTCCTCAGTCCCTCCCAACACAAGTCCCCTCCCCATCAACTACCCCTCCCCTCTACCCCATGTTACTCTAGATCACCCTCCAGCTGTCCTTCTCCTCAGTCCCTCCCAACACAAGTCCCTCCCCATCAACTACCCTCCCTCTACCCCATGTTACTCTAGATTGCCCTCCAGCTGGCCCTTTCCTCCAGTCCCTCCAACACAAGTCCCCTCCCATCTTCACCCTCCACCCTCTGGCCCCATCAGTCCCTCCAGTCCCCTCCATCCTCCCTGTCCCTTCTCCTCAGTCCCCCCTCCCCTCCCTCCCCATCAGCCCCCTCCCCTCTGCCTCTGCTACTCCTAGATCCCTCCTCCAGCTGGCCATTTCCTCAGTCCCTCCCACTTCAGTCCCTCCCCCCAACTCACCCCTCCTACCCCCATGTTGCTTTTCACCCTCCAGCTGGCCCTTTCCTAAGTCCCTCCAACACAAGTCCCTCCATCCTCCCCTCTACCCCATGTTACTCTAGATCTACCTCCCTGGCTGGCCCTTTCCTCAGTCCCATACTCCCAGGTCCACCCTCCAGCTGGCCCTTTCCTCCGGTCCCTCCCTCCAGTCCCATACCCCATCTCGATCACCCCTCCCTCTGCCCTTTCCACCACTCCCCTGGGTCCTAAGTCCCTCCCAGCTGTGGTCCCCTCCCACTCAGCCCCCCCTCCACCCCATGTGCTCTCTGGTCACCTCCAGCTGGACCTCAGTCCCTCGGTCCACAAGTCCCCTCCAGCCACCCCCTCACCCCCATGTTGGATCTACCCTCCAGCTGTCCTCCTCAGTCCTCACCTCCAGCTCCTACCCCTCCCTCTAGTCCACTCCAGTGCATTTCCTCAGTCCCTCCCATGTCCCTTCCATCAACTACCCCTCTACCCCATCTGTCCTCCTCCGGTCCACCCTCCATCGCTACCCCTCCCCATGTTCCTGGGTCACCTCCAGCTGGCCCTTTCCTCCGGTCCACTCCCTCTCCATCCTCCACCCATGTTCCTCTGGGTCCACCTCCAGGCTGTCGTCTCCTCAGTCTCTCCTCCGGTCCCCTCCATCCAGCCCCTCCTCCATGTGTCCTATGGTCCTAGGTCCTCCGGGCTGGCCCTTTCCTCGGTCCCTTCCGGCCATGGGTCCTCCATACCCCTGCCCCTACCCCATCCTCTGTCCTCCGGTCCACTCCTCCTGGGTCCCTCCTTCCTGGGTCCCTCGGCTGTCACTTCTCCTCCCGGTCCATATTCCCGCTGTCCCTCCGGTCCACTCCATGGTCACCTCCACGTCCTCCCGGGTCCTCCGGTCCATCCATTTTCCTGGGTCCTCCCTCCGGCTGGTCCTTTCAACCCGGTCCATGCTTCCGGTCCACTCCGTGGCCTTTTCCTCAGGTCCTTTCGGTCCCCTCCATCCTTCCTCCTCGGTCCGGTCCATCCTCTGGTCCTCCGTCCATCGGTCCCTCCGGTCCGGTCCTGGTCCGCTGGTCCATGTTCCCTGGGTCCATCCCTCCGGCTCCTTTCCCGGTCCCTTCGGGTCCCCTCCATATTCCTGGTCCACCCTCCGGCTGGCCTTTCCTCCGGTCCACTTCGGTCCCCTCCCCATCCATCCCCCTCGGTCCGCCTGCTGGCCCTTTCCTCCGTCTCTGGCTCCGTCCCATCAGCCCCCTTCCACTCGGTCTCCCCGCTGGCCTTCCTCAGTTTCCTCCGGTCCGTCCCCTCCTCGGTCCTCCATACCCCATGTTGCTCTGGATCACCCTCCGGCTGGCCCCTTTCCTCCGGTCCACTCCAGCTCCAGCTGGTCCATCCACCGTCCGGTCCCTCCCTCCTGCCCCTTTCCTCCTGGATCCCCTCCCTCAACAAGCTCCATCAAGCCCCTCCCCTCTGCCCCTGCCTGGGATCCACTCTGGGCTGGGTCCACCCTCCGGCTGGATCACCCTCCCTGGCCTTTCCTCGGTCCACTTCCGGTCCCTCCCGTCTAGATCCCCCTTCTCCTGTTCCTCTAACACAAGGATCACCCCTCCCCTCCGGCTGGCCTTTCCTCGGTCCCTCCCAGCTGGGTCCCTCCCCACTCAGCTAGCTGGCCCTCCCTCAGTCCCTCCACTCCGGTCCGCCTCCAGCTGTCCTTCTCCTCCAGTCCCTCCCAACACAGGTCCCTACCCCATGTTCCCTCTGCCCCATCACCCTGGATCCAGCCAGCTGTCCTCCTCAGTCCCTCCCAACACAAGTCCCTCCCCATCAGCTACCCCTCCCCTCTACCCCATGTTACTCTAGATCACCCTCCAGCTGTCCTCCTCAGTCCCTCCTAACACAAGTCCCTCCCATCACCCCCTACCCCATTGTTACTCTAGATTGTCCTTAAGCTGTCCTTTTCCTCAGTTACCCCCTACTCCCCACCCCCAACACAAGTCCCTCCCATCAGCTTCACCTCTCCTCTACCCCTCAGCACTGAAGTTCCACTCACATCACTTCACCTCATCATACAGTTTTCACAAACCATTACATAAATCACATGATCACCAACCACTGTCTGTTCAGCTGAAATAGCATACATTGCCATCCCTGCTTTATTCATGATGGAGTGAGTGAGTGAGTTTAGTTTTACGCCGCTTTTAGCAGTATTCCAGCAATATCACGGCGAGGGACACCAGAAATGGGCTCCACACATAGTACCCATGTGGGGAGTCGAACCGGGGTCTTCAGCGCGACGAGCGAACGCTTTAACCACTAGACAACTCCACCACCCTATTCATGATGGAAGGTACAAGTGGCCACATCAGATGTGGCACCACACTTGCTGAGCAGAGTTGCATCAATTAGATGTGCCCAAATCCACTGATGATAGTCCAAGTACTTAAACCACTCCGATCATTGTCCGTAGTTGATCCCCACCCTAATCATGAGTTTCAACCAAAAACCAACATGCCCCTGTATAATCTTCTGTCTTTCTCTACAACACCAAGATGAGAAGCCATGGTATAACTGAAATAATGTTCAAACTGGCATTAAACTCACCCCACTCACTTATAATATCTCCACACATCACCACCTTACCTTCTACCCTACCCATCGTCATATAAGCGAAATATTCTCAAGCACGATGTTAAACCCAATTTCACCTCACCTCACCTCTACCC